AAAAAAAAAAAAAAAAAAAAAAAAAAAAAAAGATAAAAATATATCACAAGAATCCTGTTAAAAAAAACAGAGTCTCCAGGTCTACAACCAACTATACAATCCCTGCAAACACCCCCAGCAATACTAATGGAAACACGAAATATGCTATCATATCAAACAACAGTTATTTGGAATTTGCAGTTTAAAGTTCTACAGAAAGTAGCGGAAGAACCAATTGATGTCGTCAACACATGCAGTACTAAAGTTCCTTGAGTAAGCAGAATGTTGAACTCATCTCTTCCAACCAGGGTGAAGCACCTTTTCTGAAGAGGGAGCCAGAAGGTAATCATTGAGTCAGTGAAGTTTTCAAGTTGATGAAAGTAAATGAGCTTGTAACTATCAATTCTGTGATGATCTAAGAGAACCATTTGTAAAAAGATAAAGAGCCCAAACAAACAAAAAACACTATCAAAATGAAGGATGCCATTAATGCCAGGCCATTTTACATATGGAAGTGCTTTGACATATCGAATGTGCTAGAATCATGCATTTACTTTTCTTTTGAGAAATTGACTTTTGTTGCTGTAAACCAAGACAGTGTGATAGGGAAGAAGATTGATGCACCTAATCTGGACCCAAACAGTAATAATTGTCATATATCACTAAAGAAAAACAAGTTCTTTTGATAAGTTACTTGAGAAAAACAAGTACGTGCATACTTTCCTTTTGAAAAAGTAACCACATACTTTTCAAAGCAACACAAAATAACGAAGGCCCGAGAGAGAAAACTCGCATCAACCTACAGGAATTTCATTACATACCCCACTATTGGAAACAAAACAATCATCTCAGATAGCAAGAAACATGTGACAAGACCAACTTGTAACTAAAATGTCCCTATTCATTGCTTCTTACCATCTTTAGAGGATGACATTGGTCTGTTCTTGTTTCCACCTTTTCCATTTGCTTGCACTGGCCTTTGCACTCGAGGTGACGATGTGTTGAATTTGCCATTGGTAGAGGAAGGTAGAGAATGACGCCGAACAAAACCATTTTCAGCTCCATCTTCACTTACCTTAGCAGATCCTTGAGCTTTAAGCTTTGCCTTAGCAGATTGAGTGGCAGCCATATAACTAGGCACGTTTGGTGTATTCTGTGAAATATTCTCAGAATTCTCCTGCTTGGTGGGAAGAGATTTCCTCCTCCTAGTTCTTTCTTTGGCAGCGTGATCTTCCATCGAGCTAAGCTCCTCGTTGACGACTGGGCTGTTTGCAGTGTTCCCAACATCCTCCAATTGCTGTTGCTTAGTGGTAGGATGATCAAGCAGTTCATTACTTGGTTCATCCACTGCTACAGGTAAAGGAGCTTCAGTTACAGCCAATTTCTCAATTTCAGGAGCTGAATCACTCGTTTTCTCAGAAGAATTAACCACTATTTGTTCAACATCTGGAGCTGAGGATTTTGATGTTTTAGCTTGAGCTTGAGCTTGAGCTTGAGCTTGAGCTTGAGCCTGAGCCAGATTAGGAGTTTGTTGTACCTTTTCCGTTTCTGTTTCTGTCCTTTCTGAAGGTGTTGCCAAAGCTGCAGAAACTTTTCTTAAATTGCGCTTGACTTTCTCAAGTTCATTTTGAGGCTGATCCGGCACTGGCTCTATGTGAGGATGTGAGAATTTCCTTGGGTTACGTTTAGCTTTTTCTGGTTCAGAGGAACTTACGGCATAAGCATCTCCATTTGCTGATGTAAGAACCTTCTTGACACTTCGTTTTGATCTTACTACTTCTGTTTCAACACTCTGCTTGTTACCCTGTTTCTTCTGCGACTTTGCTTCAACAACTTTCTTTGGTTGTGGAAGTGGTTCCCAAAACCGAGATAGTGACCATCGTTCAAGCCATTGCCAAGCTGAATTAGGTTCACACGCATCATACTGAAGGCTCAAGGGCATGGCTGTTGGCACTGCCATAAGTAGCTAAAACAAGCAAGAGATTACCATCAAATACAGAATTTTGTCTACATCATAAAAATAATAAGAATTACTTCACAGTCCCAAATGGTTGGATTATTACTATTTGAGTCAAACTGTTTTTAAATGATCAGTTCAAATATTTTTGTTTAAAAAAGATTGTTATTTTAGTACTTTTCATGCAATTCCCAGATACGTAAATTATATTCCAAAATTACTAAAAAATGTTCGATATCGTACTAAACATTAGATGAGTTGACTCTTGTACTCTAAACACCGTCATTGACGGAGGGAATGATATCTGTTCCAACTTCCTATGTTGATTTTCTGACCTTCACATCAACTTTAGGTAGTAAACGGATATCCATTAGATCTTTGTGATACACATACTACAGGTCAGGCTTCGTCATTCAAATCAACATTATCTCTTCATGATAAGCAACTTCAGCTCAACTTCCAGTTCTTCCTTTGTAGTGCTGAACATCTAGCATAGTCACTCTACTGAGGCACTAAAGATGAATTTACTACCACATTTGTTCAACTTTCTCAGAAAAAACTAGCACAAAGGAACAACTTCAGCAAAAGACAAATGCAAAATGTTACAGGATCAGCAAAAGACAAATGCACAAAGGAACAACTTCTGCAGCCACATTGCAGTAAATGAAACCAATGCCGAAAATCAGCAACACTTTTGCACTCTGGATATATAGAATGTTGAACCTGTATCAGAGAAACCAGACTTTCTGACCTTCTAAGATGCATCCCTGCAGTTTTACTAATCTTCCCTCACCCCTTCATTTAATTACACATTGGGGACATTTCCAGGTTCCTCAGCCTTAGATAAAGCTCAATAACTTCCCAGACCCATCTCCTTGTACGTGGTTTTCTCTATTTTGGCACCTCCCTGACCCATCTTCAACCATAAAACCACCCAAAAGTAAAGGATAAAGTAACATTTTCTTTTTCTAACTCAAACCATATATATTATCAGCCACACAGATCTTCAACGCAACACCAACCTAGGGCCAAAAGGGGAAAAAGAAAAAGAAAAGAAACAACACCTAACAGGAAAACCCTGTAATACAACAATAACTTGTTAGTTAACAACGGCGCAGGGAGGTCAACAATACCTTATGTGGAAATGCACTAGCTGTCAGTTTTGAAGGCCTCTGCTCAGGATTCTGGTTAAACAAAGAACACATGGTACACAGAGTCAATAGCCAAAACAATTTTTACCAACATGAATAAGTGCAAAATAGATACTACTACAATCCGTCAAAGCTGACAAAATGGGAAAAGAAAAGCAGTAGCAGATACTCGTCTTGTATTATAACAAAAGTCAAAAAAATATTTGATGTAAACAAATCCAAAATTTCTTTTTTATAACTCTGCACTTCCTTTTTCGGATCGTCCAATTTTATGTGCACTTCCTCTTTTGGATTGTCCCAAGTGTTTTGACACACTATTAAAAACATGAAAATCAATTACATTATTCTTCGCTATACTTCTTCTATCACTAAAGTGTTACAGGTTAGTTAAACTCGCTACGAGAATAATATTGAAGTCAAACTAACTCCTCATCTATCCTAGTAAATATCAACTCCATCTTGTCCTTATGCCTATGCTTTTATAAGAGGAAAAAAAAAAGGAAACGAGAATACAAGCAAGCAAGGTGAAGAAAAGCATCGTAGATTGTATTGCAAGAGTTACCTTAAGTTCTCCAAAACTATACTTTCTAACCAGCTGATTCCCAGAATGTAAGAGTCTAACACTTTGACCACGAGCTAATGCCTGAATCCTGACAATCGCCTGCATGCAGCGTAGAGTAGCAACTGCTTGCCTCCTAACCAAGTGTCCACGAATAAGTGCTTGTAGCCTTATGATGCCTTTGAGAGCTCGAAAAGCCCGACGAGCCTGAGGAAAGTTACCAGTGGATAAGGACATAGCAAAAAGAACAATTGAAAGGTGGATCATGCTTTGAAATTAGAAAAGGAAGAAACATCTAAGCTTCTTCAGTTTTTAAGTCCAACTAGTGGGTTTTACCTAAAGCTATGCGTCTGTAAAGAAATTATGCTGGTTTGCAAAAAATGACAATTGACTATTTGACTTAAACACAAAAGGCTCTAATGCAGAATTAATTTACACAAGCAGATAATTAGGAACCCTAGTGCCACACAAGCAATGTCTTTATAGAGGATCACATAACTTCTACTGCCTCAATTAAGCAGAAACAAAGGCTCTAAACCCCTACAGATTTTAGACATTATGTGCATAAACATTCAAACTGTTCCACGATCTAGAGAGACACGATCCATTATAGTGAATACCTCAAATCTTGAATATCAAATTAAACTCTTAATAGACCGTACGGACTTTCTTTAGAGATCAAAGTTGTAAATTCTGCTATTAAACAATACCAAGTAACCCCTAAAGGCTGCTTGTGCTTTGGTGGCAGCATGCTCTAGTCTTTCCATCTCAGCATCATCTGAGAAAATTTCCCCCTTCACATGCGGATCTGCTTCGTGTGTTGCAGAAGATAGTGAGGCGGTTTCGCATGCAAAGTCAGTGCTTGTCCCTTTTTCCAATCCAGCCTGATCACACTCACCACCGCTATCCAAATTCTGAACTGGTGGATCCAAAGTTGGTGAATTCAGAGCTAGATCCCCCAATGGTGCTTTTGCAGACGATTTTTTCTCACCCGTAACATCCTTCATACAAAACATAGATTAAGATAGCAGATACCTAAGTAACTTAATAACATAGAAGAACAAAATTAAAAAGAATCTTCAGCAGCAAAGAGAATTTCGGAGGAAATTTGTAAAATGGCATCAAACTACTTGAGTTAATAAGGAATAATGATGCAAGACATGCAGCTGAGCTGATTTCCAAAATCTACTTAGTATGACATGAGAGTGTTGCATTTGCACTGCAACTTTCACTTACACCTAAGTAGGGTGAGAGAGAGAAAGGCGGTATTGAACTCATTTTCCTTTGATAGTTAATTAAGAAACAGAAGTGCCAAATTGCTGAAACTGGATCGAACCAAACAATAGTAGTAAAATTTTCATAAATTCTCTGTAATGCTGTAGAATTATGACATAATAAAAAATATTCTGTTATACCTTAGATAAATGAGACTTGGATGATTTCTTGCCAAAAAGCACAGCCTTGATCCATTTGGCCGGAGATTTCCCCATTGCACACAGCAAGCTGCTCAACTAAAGAGGGATTTCAACTGAATCCTGCATTATTCAATTAAAAAATAAACTTCTCCTTAAAACAGGTAAAACGTGAGCACTAGATCTGAGCTAAAACCACAAGAAAAAAGCAAATTGATAATTGAAGACATGCAAAATTAAAGAGAAAACAAAATGTGGAGTAGGGTTTAGAGAGCAAATGCAGGTCAGATCTGAGAAGTACCTGATGAATTGGAAGCTTCTTTTAAGATCCCAAACTTAGCATAGCTGAATTGAAAGTAAAAATTCCAGAGATAGTGAGCTAAAGAGAAATAACAGAAATCAGGTGAAAGATTGATTGAGATGAAAGCTAAATGGAAAAAAGAGAATGCAGCTGCTAACAAATGAGCAGGCCCATGAGGCCATAGCTATCCATACCTTGAGGAAGATGGACCCCTCCACCGCTTTTTTCTCTCTCTCTGGAATGATTCTGCGAGTAGTAGTAGTGAATAGTGATGGAGTGGTACATATACGATTTGAGTACAACTGTATACTGTAGTTGTTATACTGTCGCTTTTAGTAAAGTTGGTAATTTCCTGCTAATCTACTTTTTGAAATTTTCATTAAAACCATACGACGCCGTTTGTGGATAGATTTAAGAAAAATATCCTTTGCTGATAATTAGGTTTGTATTATGAGTCCTTTAGATGCACCTAAACTCATTATGATAATAAATTAGAGTAGTGATAAATTACCTAAACCAAACCAAATCCCGTCAACGTTCAACAGTCTCTTCTTTCTTTGTTTTTGATTTATTCCTTTTTCAATATGAAAGAAAACAAGTCTTCATGTGACATTTCATTAGTTAAGGTGTCACATTTTAAACAGTAATGTGATCATTTGAATTTCAATACTTTTGTTGATCTCCACAAATTAATAAATACCAAAAAAGTAATAATTTGAATGCTTTCACATAGTGGTCCCATTTTATTTAAGTTATATTGGTAATAATGATACTACTATTAATATGTTAAAGATTAGTATAATACTTGACTTTTTTTAGTTCAAAAAGATACAAAAGAAGGTAGTCAGTAAGAAATTTTACTTTATGAGTATGTATGACTCTTTGTCCTAGATTTCTATTGCTATCCATTGCTCCATTTTTTTTTTGATTTTCATATAATCATGTTGTTATTGCTGCTTATCTTTCTTGACTTTCTTAACTATTGTATTTTCTCTTCACTCCTACCGAAATTTTATTTTTCTTGAATCGAGGGTTTATCGGAAATAGTATTTTTACTTTAATAAGGTAGGAGTAAGGTTTGAATATACATTATTCTCCCAATATTTTACTTGTAACTTGTGGGATTACATTATAATTGCTGTTGTTGTTGTTGTGTGTATTGACTCTCTAGACAGGCACTTTGTCTTTTGATTCCAGATACTTTGGGATTAATGAGAGCGATATAATAAGCTGTAGGAAGAAACCTCCAACTAAAGAAAAAATTGAAGACAAAGGTGAATAAATGCAGCATAGACAGCGCATCCCTATCCAAGTAAGCATCAGTAAGCACCTTTGTAATGATTTAAAGCTGCGGTCCCCCTTTTTTTGGTTCATTAGGTACACCAAACAAACTGAGTCTTCTCATTATTCCTCAACTTACCTATAGGGCCATGTGCTTTCTTTTTTACTTGCCAAACGAACGGCATATTCATCTTGTTTCCCAATTTTCTTTATACTACAAATGGATTGCAGCAAATATCTTTAACTACCGTTAGCAAAAAAAATAATTCTTTCTACTTCCCTGTCAAAAATTCAAATACATATTATATATATTGGTTGTCTTCTTTTTATTTTTTCCTTCTTTCTTTGTACAAGCAAATAAGAGAAAGGACCTTATCAACAGACATAAATATCACTCCTTAGTTGGCTCTTTTAGATGAATTGAATGGCTTCAAACTCTAACCTAAACGTATAAACTTCATAAAGGATTTTTGATGTCTGAACAATAGTAAATTCTCTTTTCTTTTATTATTTTTTACCATCATGATACTTCAGTGAATCGAGACTGATTGTACCATCTAACGACACAACAGGTTAAAGATAAGAGTTACTTGTTCGATTGAGCAGGTGTCGCTCGTCAACAATGATACATTAGAGACCTACGTAGTGCAGCACATGAGATTCAATTGTAATAGCATGTTACATTACCACTAAGCGGTGATAGAACCGTGAAATGATAAAAAGTCATCCCCTCTTAATTAAAAGTTTATGGTTCGAATCTTGAGAATAAAGTCCAGTCCTTTTGATAGAGAGCATTGAAACCGTAGTAAGCTTTCTATGACGCGAATTTAAATTAGATGAACCCAATAAATTTCAAATATCAAAGGGTTAATTATTTGTTCCCTTCAACATACAATACAGACGACGTGTATAGCAATGAATGTAGTAGAGGTCCCTATGTTTACAAGGCGAGGAGTATATGTCAATGAATCCACCGACAATGGTAGATCCTCGTAAATTGCCAAGCTTAGCTTAACAAGTGTAATGACACACTTACCAACTGTGTATCCAAGGGGGAAAGGTTATTTTTTCCGCATCATCACACTGCGCGTTTTCCTTGTGACCAACATCACGAGAGAAATCTGAGTCTCAATCGTAGAGCAATGGAATATATTATACAGTTCCATTTGGTTGCGAGGCAAGCAGTATATACCAATGAGTCCACCGACAGTTTTAGATGCTTGTAAAATGTAAGTAACGCATATCCCACTGTGCCTTTTCCTTGTGACCAACTTCACGAGTGTTACCGTTCACCGACTCGGTTCTTTAGAAAAATAAAGGCAATTATAGGATTTTCTGTCACACAAAACTGACAGCCAAGCTAAAAGACAGCGATTAAATACAACAATAAGGAGCATCATCCAGTTGTCTCCCGCTTACCCTCAATCCGAAAGTTGTGAGGAAAAATATACACATACACATATAACGATCATGAATATGTGGACTTCAAAACAATAAACAATCGTTATCAAAGGTAATTATAGGTGACACAGAGATCTTAATAATCGAGGGTCGAGAGAGCCAAATATCCTAATCTAGTGATCATCTTATGTTGCCAGATAGAATCTTGTCATCTAAATACATTAACATGAAAAAGCGTATAAATCAAAGCAGTTGCTGTTTCCAATCCCTAAAACCTCCTTTCTATGGGCAAGCCATCTTCTGAGCTCTTTCGCCTCAAACCCTGGCTCATCATTAGCAGCCGTACCAGCTGAAACAAAGTTAACTGCTTATATAGCTCTTCTTAGTCAATACACACCATGGAGGTAGGTTTCCAAGCAGTGGGTATTTCAGCTGCACACCTGTAAAACTCAACTACGGAAAAGATTATAATTAGGAATCAAATAATAAAAGATCAATAGCCACTACCTCGCCTAAATCCAGATGCTCTTCAATTAGTACTATTTTTTTTAATCCCAAGCTCTTCAATTACTGCGACCACACAAAAAGGCAAACATTCTATGCCTTCACGACGTTTCATAATTGTTTGACATTTGCAGCAAGTAAAACCACAACCTAGTTCTTGCAACATCTAGAAATGTAACCATCCCTTTGGATGTCATCGTAAGCGCCTCCAACTAAGAACCGCACTACAACAGTCACTGCAGATCCAATATTGGGTGATAATTCAACATTGATGGTCCTGCAAATCTGCAATACCCATTTAACAGATCCTATGGCCTGAAATTAAAATTAGTGTGCAACTTAGATCTTTACAGTGGCACTCAAGACAGGCAGAAGATTTTTGACTTATCTATCTCCTCAATTACTTGGTGTTAAAAGCCCAAATCTACCTATTATTTACTTGCTCCATCAGACAATGATAGATGAATGATATTGCATTCACAGGGAATTAAATTGCTAAACAAAAATATCAGATGTTTATCCATTTTTCATTCGGTCTCATAGGACCGACAGAAGAGAGCTTCAAATAATTTGGATACAAAAGATCATATGTACAATGTCTCATGGTCGAGTAGCAGAACATGAAGATAAAGGCAATCAGAGTTCCTACAACACATAAAAGGACAATTTCCTGCTACATTTATTTTTAATGTAGCAACAGCACTGAAAAGTTTTCAGCTTGACACAGGCACCCCTACCAGGAAAATCTCCCATAAAGGATTCAGCCTGAGAGATCTTAGTCTGCTGTCCAGCTCTGCTCAACAATCTCACGCACCTTCCTGTTGTACTCGCGCTTATTCTCACTAAACATGCGTGCTGCTTCTGAATTAGCTGGCGAGTTTGGGTTTGGATCACAGAGCAAAGACTGCATTTGGAAAAAGTCACACATTAGGGACTGTTTACAAGCAGAGATGCTAATGCTAATGCTTTCAGTTCAGTTTCATTTACTCCAGCCCACGTTTTACTACCTAGTTTGGTTAATGAGAATTCACTTGACTATATTGGCCTCACACCAGACATCGATTAAATTTTAAAAACAAATGATAAGAATCACAAAAGGTATAAAAACACTACTGACAACCAAAAACTGAACTGGACCTTTATGGAAAGATAACAAAAATATGGCAGTGACAGAAGATCTTTTGAACTCCCAAGATTAGTGCCTAGGTGAAACATAGTGAAATAGACAGAATGTCTTGAGCAGCCAAGTAAGACAGGCACCAACTGAGCAGTGTCTCAGATAGAATTGAGCCTAAGTAAAAACTGCTTGAACCAAATAAATTTCACCAAAAAAACTCCAGCATTTATATACATATTCAATGATTTAAGAACAAGGACCTGTTTGCTTTTGATTGCTTCTTTTCAGTTACAATATTAGTTTATTAAATTAGTTAATTTACTAGTAATAGTGAAAATGATATCAAGCACAGTATATAGTAATCTATGAACATATTTTATCATCTAATTTGAACCAAATAACGAAGCCTGCATTCCCAACTTATCCAAAATAACAGATATCCTGTTCTCATCATTGTACACTACCCCCCCACCAGTTCAAGCAGAGAAATGCAAAGGAACACATAACTCAATCATTAAGTGTCCACTAACACCTACAGCCAAAGAGCTACTTAACCACCAAGAATATCATGTCTTAATAGTGGTATACTACTAGTGCAGAATACGAAGTACAAAAGGACACCAAGCTACAAAGCTAATCAAGGTGGGGACAAAAGAGATGGTCTATGATGCGTCTAAAATAAATGCCATCACTAGGATGTCCATTATTCTGCATGGAAACACACACACGCGCACACACACCAAGGGAATAAAATGAAAGATGATCTTCATGATATGTTTCTCCAATATTCTGTATAGACACAAGGCATAATGATGTACATTTAATAACAATCTCAATGTACCTGGATTGAAGTAAGTATAGCAGCTACGTCATATATAGGACTCCACTGATTTTGCAGTATGTCCAAGCATATACTTCCATCGGCATAAACTGAGCAATAGATAAGTATGAGAACTCAGCAAAACCAAAGTCAAATTTTCGCTTTGCATGACAAAGTAGAATCAAGTCTTTTTATGATAAGTAGAGTAGAATCGAGGCTAATACAAAAGGCAAGAAGTAGCCATTTTGAATGGCGTGAGAGATCTAGGATTAACTTCTGCACAATGGCACAAATGAAAGATAAAGACATAAACCTAATTGGTATAAACACATTAGATCAACTCTCTCAAAAAGCCAATACTTGAACATTATAGATTACATTGCTCAGATTGCATGGGCTGTTTGGTCAAAATACAACAGCCCACTGCTTTGGCATGTAATCTTCATGTTCCCTTTTTCTTGGTCAGCTATTGCACGACCTGTGATTTTGACTAAGTGGGCTATGAAAGTGCTCTGATAAACTGATATCAGAGCTTAACAGAACTGCTTTTCGGAAACACTTAGAAACCCTCAACCCTCACGTTTCTCTCTTGTTTCCCACTTTGCTATGAACACAAAAGACAAGTATTGACAAAGACAAGGCAGAAACGCGGCTAAAAACGTGTAAGAGTGCATGTTTAACTTAGGAAAGAGTTCCTTTTTGTAATAACTTGTACCCATGTCTGTGTAGTGCTTGTATCCGAAAGTGGGCTAAGGCTGGAGCGTTGGCGGAATGATAGCAAGGAGTCTCAATAGCTAAGGCAAGGCTATGTGAGCCAAAATACAAGCAATGGCACGGGTAAGGCGGTCTTAGTTTGCAAAAACGTGTAAGAGTGCATGTTTAACTTAGGAAAGAGTTCCTAAATTGGGCTTAGAAGATTATGGTACTCGTATTGCTTGGTCTGGTGAAAATGGAAGAAAAGAAAAATAGGTGTAGCAAAACAAGAATTTCAACTAACAAGCAGTACAGTACGTGGAATAATATAAGTTGGGACATATACTAAGCTATAGGTCTTAACACATACATAACTCAATACTCACATGAATAACAAAACACATTCAATAAAGCTACCAGAATATGACTAATTCTCTCCTATTCAAGAATTTCAAGAAACAGAGAATTACTGTAAGCCACAGTAATTAACTGTAAGCCACAGTAATTACCAAGATTTCTGCAATATTTCCATCAACCAATCATAATCATTGGGAAAAAAGTGTCACATTAAACGACTCATTAACACTGCAACAAAGAAATTGCCTATTACATATACTAGTCTCAGGGTACGCACTTTGTGCGCGTATCCTATATTCATGAGTACATAACTTTCAAATATTCCAAATCCAGATTAACCAATGTGTATGAGTTATTAAAAATATTACAAAAAATATATAATATCCAAAAAATAATAACCCTATTTAGCAAGCTTAAAAGAAGAAATTATGTCCTACATCAATTCTCAAATGATTTATTATGATTTCTTGCTTTGTCCCCACTTGCCGAAGTTATTCAATTGTCTTCTTTATTTTTGGATTAATTAGCATATGCTAGATACAAATAAGTGAAATGATAAGATCGTACTGATATATCTCTTTATCTCCTCTTAAATTAGATTATTTGAACATGAAGTACACTTCTCAAGTTTTCTTTCAAAAGTTATCTGTCAGCTTACAAAATAAATTTACTTATATGATGAAGTTGAAAAAGAATTGAATTGAGTATTTTCTCTAATCAGTTAATTAAGAGCTCAATTATTTATTCATTTTAATATCAAAATTTTGCTGCCTTTGTTAGTTTCAAATTATGGTCAAGCTATTCTTAGGAAATATAATACGTAACATTTATATTTTTGATATTACAATATTATAGTATTATATAAGGTAAACTTAATTAATTTTGATGTCCTAAATATTAGCATTTCGTGTGTGGTCGTTCAAATAAGGAAAACTTTGATAAGCAAAGTTTTAGTTGACTTTAAAATGCTAAATATTAGGAAAATAATTAAATGACTATTTTGTCTAGTGTGAATTCTATTTTAAAAGGGTAAAAAAGATGAACGATATTTTGCTAAGTGCCTTCGTGCTTTTAATATAGTATAGATAAGGGATTACCACTCATTTAAGTTCAAGGATAAAGATTTGGGCCGACCTTTGCAAAGGTTGACTAGATGGAGTCAATACTTTCTTAAAGAGTTAAGGAGTGAATTAAATTACCAAATGTGTTATCTAATATAAGTGCATACCACATACTATATGTCTGGAATGGTTGGATATTGAGATTTTTAAAGGAGGAGAATGTTTTGTGAAGAACAATGCTAATAGTCAAATATGGATTGAGACGAATGAAGGAGAAAAACAATTTTCTACATTCCTTATAAGGACATTCTATATTATATAGGTATTACAGTGAGTGATGGCATCAGAATTAGCTCTCGGAGAGACCGGTGATGTTAGACTAGCAATACAGGATTAGGAATAATAGAAGATTGAGGAATTTCTTCACAGGATATATGAAATGGCCTATTGGTGGTGAAGGCATGATAGGATGATACAGAAGGAGAGAGCACACTACAAGGAATTGACTGAAATGGGAATTGAAGGGTTGATGCAGAAGGTGAGGCCATGTGGGATATAAAACGCCTAAGAAGCTAGCTTCCTTCTCGAGGTACATGGTGTGAGACGCAATACTAACTATACTAAAAGGTCTCTGAATTTCTATAACCTCTTGTCAATACTACTAGTCGTCACGCCACTTCCTACAAAAAAACTATCAAGATAAACTCAATCAAACAACCTAAGCTTAAAGTTGAAATTTTACCTTTTCTAAGAAGTTTGAAATTTTACCTTTTCTAAGAAGTACAACTACGTGAAGAAAGAGGGAGAGAAAGATGAAGCAAAATTACTTGGGCTACTTACTATTTGGATGGAACATCCTGGAAATAAACCGCACAGTTGGAGGCTTGTTGGGGTAATCCTCCGTAAATTGAAGTGTGAGCTTAAACGTACCTGTAGATAGAACACATATTTAATAGTCAAAACTGGGGTGGAAGGGCATGACTGTAAATTATGATGGTTCTTGTCCATATAAACTAGAGGCGCCTGCTCATCCTTCATTTCATTGAAAGAGGAACAACAAGGATGGAAAAGAAAAGTGAGAGCAAATCTTAATAATGACAATCAATGTTTTTATAAATGACTAACTACCTTAACCACCTACAAGCAAATAAGAATATTCAGCACAGACTGGATCAGAATATTATCATGCACCACAGAAACAGATTCCTAGAAACCTTCTTCATTAGGAGAATGGGAGCATCTCAGCATCAAGAAGCACAAAGTGGACTAAGCTAATATGCATTACTTAAATGGAAGTGATGAGATCCACACAAGTATGTTTCATCCACAGTCAAGTGATAATTGCCCTTTACAAAACACTCACTGCGCGATTTATGCATTCATAAGGAATATAAAAATGACAAAGTAAAGTAGAAAACTGCAAGTGGCATTTGATTGAGTAAATATTTCTTAGGAGGTATCTAACTATCTATATGATGGACTAAGATTCAACGTAATGCTTCTGTTCGTATTTTAAGCATAAATATGAAGAGAGAGAAAAGACTGGTAACTGAGCAACAATTTCCTCACCTCCATCCCAAGGTGTGTCATCAGGACTGCATTTCAAAGAAAAAAGAAAGTTCATAAGTACAAAGAAATTACAGCAGAAAGTAGAAAAAATGATGCAGAGAATCCTGCAGATACCCGAATATAACAGCATTCCAGAGCATAATATTGTTGTCAAAAGGAGCACCACTGATGCCGGCAGGAGGATCCTGCTGTAACCTCTTAAAATCCCTCATCAATCTTTTCCTCGCCGGCGTCGACATCCCTGACCACCTAATCCCACAACTCACAATTCATCAACTTGCTAAATTCAATTTTAGAAAATCAAAAGTTCAGCTCCCTACACTAATAAGCCACTAAAATTAACGTAGCAGTTTAGATTATAAGGCAATCACATGCCAATAAATCGAACCGAGTCAAAAACAGTAAAACTAGGAAACCCTAGATCCACAAAAACATGAAATTATTGCATACATTATAGTCCAAGACATCACCATTGATTAAACTAGGATTCATGTGAAAATGAGGGAGATTAAATTACCTGAGTGATGAAGCGGCAAGAATTTCAAAGAGAATCGATGAGATTGTAATTGAGCTTGGATGAAGACTTGAGAGTTTCTTGTGCGTCACCTGCTTATAGGAAATGAAGATACTGAGTTTGCGTGATATGTAAGCTGGTGAGATACGTGACCTGATACATCAGATGCGCGTACGTACAGCTAATAGCCTGATAGTGTGATTACGTGGACACTTTTTAAAATGGAAAANATATATATATATATATGTGTGTGTGTGTGAGAGAGAGAGAGACAGACTTTAAGTACCCCTTTCAACTTATCCCGTTTTCTCAAGTGCACACTTCAACTTTGCGGGGTCTTATTACCTATTTGTAACGACTCGATCAGTCGTTTTGAGCTCTAGCGCGTCGCTCGGGGGTTTGAGGCCTTGGGTAGTTTCACTTCATGTTTTATGACTTGTACGCGTAGTCAGAATCGAATTTCGGGAAGTTCAGAGCTGATTTTGATGGAAAATTCTAATTTCGGAAGCTTTAAGTTGGAAGAATTAGCTAAGGTTTGACTTTTGAGTAAACGATCTCGGAATCGGGATTTGAAGGTTCCAATAGGTTCGTATGATAATTTCGGACTTAGGCGTATGTTGACTATGTTCGGGTTGAGTATCGGGTCGTCTGGTATCATTTCGGCACTTATTGTGAAAAGTTGGCATTTTGAAGGTTTTAGAATTTTCTAAGTTTGGTTTGAAGTGGACTTTGGTGATATCGATGTTCTACTGGGGTTCCGAGCCTTGCAATAGGTTCGTATCGTGATTTGTGACTTGTGCGTAAAGTTTGGCGTCATTCCGGAATGTTTTGATATGATTCGGACGTGTTCGTTGAAGTTTAAAAGTTTGAAAGTTGAAAGAAAGATTTTTATCGTCGATTCATATTTTTATGTTTTTTGTGGCATTTCGAACCTTTGGATAAGTTTGTATAAGATATTGGGACTTGTTGGTATGTTCGTACGGGGTTCTGAGGGGTTCGGGTGAGTTTCAGGGTAGTTTTCGGACCATTTCTTGGCCAATTTTAATTGCTGATTTTTTGCTACAGCAGTGTGCATCGCTATCGCGGACATTCGACGCGTTCGTGAAGAGCAAGATGGGAGAAAGGGGTTTGTGAATCGCATTCGCGAAGAAGAAATTTCTGCTGCACAAGCTAATTTTGGAAGCTCATATCTTGCAATCTATAAGGATTTGGGAGATGATCCAAAAATATAAATTGTAGACGTTGGTGTCTAGTTTTCAGAAAGTCAAACCATTTATCATTTGGAGTTTTGTATAAAATATTATGACCATTATACTAGAGGCTGTCTAGAGGAGTTAGACAGCTTGTTCTTCGCGATCGCTATTGGTTTTCCGTGATCGCGAAGGGCAATTTTGAGGTGAGAAAAATTGTGCTTCACGATCGTGAAGGGTAAATACCTGGGCAGAAGCTATATTCGGGGGTTTCATCCATTTTATCATATTTGGAACTATAGAGCTCGGATTGAAGCAATATTTTAAGCGATTTTCGCCATATGAATTGGGGTAAGTATTCTCTACTCGGTTTTGATTATATTTCATGAATCTATCCTCATTTTTGGCATTTGATTGATGATTTAAAATGAGAAATTAGGGGGGTGGGGGTTATCTAAAGCTTCATAGAGTGAATTTTTGAGTTTTAACGTCGATTCGGAGTCGGATTTGAGTGAAACTAGTATGGTTGGACTCGTAACTGAATGGGTTGTCGGATTTTGTGAGTTTTGTGAGGTTCCGAGCATGTGGGCCCCGGGGGTTGACTTTATTGACTTTTAGAGTGGAGTTGAAAATTGTTATAAATTGATTTATTTTGAGTATTAGAGTATATTTTTATTGCTTTGCACATTGTTTGACTAGTTTTGGAGCGACGAGCATTGGTTTGAGGTGTTAGAGTGGCGTTGGAGTCGGTTATGGATCTTCGGAGCGAGGAAAGTCTCGTATCTAACCCTATAAGGGGGAATTTACCCCGTAGGTGTTATATTCCTATGTGCTACATGTTGTGGGAGCTACACACGTATGAGGTGACGAGTGTCCGTGCGTATGCTAAAATTCCTGATTATGTCCAGATAAACTTAGGTTCGTGCCATGCTATAATTGTACTATTTGAGTCATCTTTGCTCGTTTAATTCCTTTATTTCGCGTTACGACTTAAGACTAGACTTGCCTAGAGTGATAGACTCGCTATTGTAGAGATGTGACGAGCTACTTGATAATCCGCGGAATAATTTGTGCTTCCCTTATGAATTCCTCTTGCGTTGTGCGTTTTCATCGCAAAGCTTTCCTTAAAGTTTATAACTCATACTTTTATTCGTGAGTGAGGTCAAGAACCCGTTAAAGCTTCTTACTCTAATAGGATCGGGTTGATCGCCTCGGCAGGATTATATACCACACTGTTATGGGAGCGGATCGTTCGCCTCGGCAACATAATAGACGCATCTATGGTTCGTGTCCTTCGACCCTCGGCGGTGTACATATTATTATGGGATCGGGCCGTACAACTCGGCATTTTTATAAAATGCTTTTATGAGATCGGGTTGTTCGCCTCGGGCAGCGTCGTGCGTAATATTTGACAAGAAACCAGTGTATCCGTGTGTTTTCCTGATTTGAGTTGTAACGAACCTATCTGGTGAGGTCCATTTCATATATACTCCGGTTGAGGAGGTAATTGATAATTGAGAGCTTGAATTTACTGTTTAGAGGAGGATTGTACCACGTACATATATTTGTTTATACTGTTTATTACCCTGCCGTATATTTGTTTATTTTCTACTGTATTTGAGTTATTAGACCACTAATATGCTACACACGGCTGACTTTGGAAGCTCATATGTTGCAATCTATAAGGAATTTGGAGATGATCTAAAAATACAAGTTGTAGTCGTTGGTGTCTAGTTTTCAGAAAGTCAAACCATTTGTCATTTGGAGTTTTGTACAAAATATTATTGCCATTATACTATAGGCTGTCTGGAGGAGTTGGGCAGCTTGTTCTTCGCGATCGCAATTGGTTTTCCGCGATCACGAAGGGCAATTTTGAGCTGAGAAAAGTTGTGTTTCGCGATCGCGAAGCATTTTTCCGCAATCACGAAGGGTAAATACCTAGCTAGAAGCTATATTTTGGGGGTTTCAGCCATTTTATCATATTTGGAGCTATGAAGAACGGATTGAAGCGATTTTCGCCATGTGAATTGGGGTAAGTGTTCTCTACTCGGTTTTGATTATATTTCATGAATATATCCTCGTTTTTGGCCTTTGGTTGATGATTTAAAAACAGAAATTGGGAGTTTTTGTCTAAAGTTTCATAGAGTGAATTTTTAAGTTTTGAACGTCGATTCAGAGTCGGATTTGAGTGAAACTAGTATGGTTGGACTCGTAACTGAATGGGTTATCGGATTTTGTGAGTTTTGTTGGGTTACGGGCATGTGGGCCTGGGGGTTGACTTTATTTACTTTTCGAGCGGAGTTGAAAATTATTATAAATTAATTTATTACGAGTATTAGAGTATATTTTTATTGCTTTGAACATTGTTTGACTAGTTTTGGAGTGACGAGCATCGGTTTGAGGTGTTAGAGTGGTGTTGGAGTCGGTTATAGAACTTCGGAGCGAGGTAAGTCTCGTGTCTAACCCTGTGAGGGGGAATTTATCCCGTAGGTGTTATATTCTTATGTGCTACATGTTGTGGGAGCTACATACGTATGAGGTGACGAGTGTCTGTGCGTATGCTAAAATTCCTGATTATGTGCGGATAAACTTAGGTTCATGCCATGCTATAATTGTACTATTTGAGTCATCTTTGCTCGTTTAATTCCTTTATTTCGCGTTACGACTTGAGACTAAACTTGCATAGGGTGATAGACTCGCTATTGTAGACATGTGACGAGCTACGTGATAATTCGCAGAATAATTTGTGCTTCCCTTATGAATTCCTCTGGCGTTGTGCGTTTTCATCGCAAAGCTTTTCTTAAAGTTTATAACTTACACGTTTATTCGTGAGTGGGGTCAAGGACCCGTTAAAGCTTCTTACTCTAATAGGATCGGATCGATCACCTCGCAAGATTATGTACCATACTCTTATGGGAGCGAGGCGTTCGCCTCGACAGTATAATAGATGCATTTATGGTTTGTGTCGTTCGATCCTCGGCGGTGTACACATTATTATGGGATCGGGTCGTACGCCTCGGCATTTCTATAAAATGCTCTTATGGGATCGGTTGTTCGCCTCGGCAGCGTCGTGCGTAATATTTGACAAAAAACCAGTGTATCCGTGTGTTTTCCTGATTTGAGTTGTGACGACCTATTTGGTGAGATCCATTTCATATATACTCTGTTTGAGGAGGTAACTGACAATTGAGAGCTTGAATTTACTGTTTAGAGGAGGATTATACCATGTACCTGTATTTGTTTATATTGTTTATTACCCTGTCGTATATTTGTTTACTTCCTATTGTATTTGAGTTATTANGGGCGCAAAGGAGCGGCTGTTGCAGGGACTTTATAGTGAGTTGCATTCCATGTTACGATCTGCCTCATACAATGTCTCCATCAGAGTTATTTATATTCTCATGTCTAACTTGTATTCCAAACAAATATTGTATTATTATTGCACTCCTTAATAGATGCTCGTGGAATTGTGACACCAAGTTTTGGAGGTTCCTACTGGCTGTTCGTTATGTAATTATTATCATTTCACCTTGTAATTATATTTTATACGGAAATTGAAAAATAAAATCATGGGTTTTCTACGAATACCAGATTTTACTCTACTTATTTAATGGGATTCATGATTTCGAAAATAATAAAATGAGTAACTAATTTGATTAATCACCGTTGGCTTGCCTGACGGCGATGTTAGACGCTATCACGACCTACATTGGATTTTGGTTCGTGACAGCTTGGTATCAGAGCTCTAGGTTCACTTGGGTCTCACGAGTCATGAGCAAGTCTAGTAGAGTCTTGCAGATCGGTACGGAGACGTGTGTACTTATCTTCGAGAGGCTACATGGCTGTTAGGAGCACTTCCTTCTTGATTCCTCATCGTGCGATTTGATTTCCATTGAAGCTTATGACTTCATTCCCTTCCTACTCATTCTTATACGATGTTGAGCGCTCG